CACACACACACCAGCAGGGGCTAGTGAATCTAACCCCCTACACACACACACCAGCAGGGGCTAGGGAATCTAACCCCCCCACACACACACACACAAGGGTGAGAGCACAGGCCCGTCTCCTGGCCCCCATCAGGCCCTGAGTGCTTTGCTTAGACTAGCCTTCCAGGGGGCCAATTAGCACCAACGTTGGTGGCCGCTGATCCAGGGGGACGAGTGGCTCCATCCTTGGTGCTAAGCGATGGTTGAAGGGGCAGTCTCTTGTGGGTCTGAGGCCCGGGGCTTTCCGGTTGCATCCCAGAGGAGCTGGCTGCACAGGGACGCACCTGCCTTTGTTCCTGCAGGATTATTGCAGGTGCCTGGCTCTGGGAACCGGGAGCTCCGAGCACCAGGCTGGCCCCGCAGGACAGAGATGAATGACACCCACTGTGCTCGCAGAGAGCACGTCGCAGCCCGGTTGCTTGCAGGGACGGCCAGCAGGCAGCAGCAGCCTAGAACCCCCCTGCTAGGTCCAAGCAGGGCTGCTGGACGGTTGGGACGGGAGAGCAGGGGCTCCCAGGGAGGCTGCAGATTGCTCCTGAAAATCTGCTGGCAAAGACTTGCTTTCCCACCGACAGTCAGGCCACCTGGGGCAGGGCTGGCACTGAAGGGCCACACCCAGGGGCTCTAGTGCCTTATGGGCATCCAGGTGTGCCACCCCCCCTTCCTCTTGCCAGCCTGTAAGTGACATAACAGACCTGGCTCTTGACTCAGCCCAGGGCAGCCTTCCAGCAGGGCATACGTCTGGAGTGGGGCTTCTGCCCGGGAAGAGAGACACTGAAGCCAGCCAGGAACCATGTCTGCAGGGCTCTTCCTAGGGATGTTTCGGTGGGATACAGCCTGGCAGTGACCCTTCCCAGCGAGCACACCGCTTTCCACTATGAGGCAGGGCCTGGGATAGATCTAGGGGAGAAAGTGCCTAGGGTTAAATAATCCAATGCTTCAAGTGCCTCTTCCACCAACCATCATCACCGCTGGCTCGCAGCACATGGGAAACAAAGCACAGAGTCCTGGCCCTGCCCCTTCCACCATGTCCAGCAACTTGAGGAGAGGAGGCCAAGCTGCCACGGCACTGAAGGGGAGGCCTGCAGTAGCTGCAACCTGCTGCTCTGCCCATCAGCTCCTGCCTGCCCCACCCCACCCCAGAATCTGAAGAATCAGTATTGGGAAAGAGCCTGGAGCATGTGCAGCGTCTGACCTCAGTCAGTGGCGATCCACTCCCCAGATCCGGCAGGGGACCATCGCCAGGCCAGCCAGCACCATAGGGGGCAACGTGCATCACCAACTGACCCAGAAAACTTTTAAGGGAGCCCTGTGTTGTTAGTGTTTTGTCAGCACGTCACCGTATTACAAGACCCACCCTTAGCATGCAGCTCCTGCTGGGGAGGTGAAACACAGCAGCTGTTTTTAACAGCACACGGCAACACAGAGATACCATATCCAAGCAAAACTACAAGGCGAGTCTCAGGCTTTGTCTACACTGCAAGCACAAGTAAGCATACCCGCACTAGCTCTAATCCAGTAATAAGAGTAGTGTAGGCAGGGCAGCAGGGGCTAACAAGCTCACCCAGACATGCTCTGGTGGCTAGCCTGTGCTGGAGTGAAGCCCCGGCTGCCGCCTGCACACTACCATTACCCCGCTAGCAAATTTAAAGCTAGCCTGGGTGTCCCTTCCCATACTACAATCACATCTTCACGTGCGTTGCAGTCCTACCCCAAGGGTAGGTCTACAGTGGAGCTGGAGCTGTAGTTGCCAGTTGAGGTAGATATTAGCTAGCACTGAGAGTGTGCTGAAAAGGGCGGTGTAATAGCGGCTGCACAGGTGGCAGGACAAGCGAGCCACCCCTGGGGCAATCCCCAGGTATGTACTGGGGCACCAGCGCAGCCTGCCACCCCCTGTGGCCAGGGCTGAACTGCTATTTTTAGCATGCTGGCTGGATCCGAGCTAGCATGGGTGTGTCTACCTGAACTGGAAATGAGACTTCCAGCTCCACTTTTCACTGAGCGTCTGGCAAGGCTTGACCTTGCTTACCTCCGACTTCTGACAAGGACAAATGGCTGAAAGGAACATCCTGTGCTATATAGCAAAGGCACCATTTGGCATCCGTGCTGGCGGCCGCAGGGGTCTGAGTGGCTTTGGAGACAAAACTTCCCTCTCATCCCTAGGGGGTGAGCTTTCCAAAAGAGGGTTGAGGTGCTTTGGCCTGGCAGTGTTGGGAAGCTTATGCAATTATTGCCTATGTTTTACTGGTTCTGAGAGGAATAGGGCTTCATTTTCCAGTTCCATCCCGTGGGAACAGCCGCTGAATTCACTTTGACATGATAGTAATAATGAATGGCCATAATGCATCAGGTCCGTTCTGTTTTTAGTCTGGACAACAGAACCCGGGAGAGATGTTCATAGATCACAAGAAATGCCCGATTGTAATCAGCCTGACAAGCCACTGGATGTCAGTGTTGATTGATACAAATGAAGCTGAAGGAATATTTACCCAGCAGAAGAAAACCTGTCTCTCTCTTCATCAAAGCAGCTTGAATGTGGAGGAGATCTGGAGGTGTGATCTCCTCACATCTCAGGGCTATGCCTGGTCTGTTCCTGGACAAGAGACCTGAGGAAACCCATATGGCACAGTTAATAAAGCCACTATTCCCTTAGTCATTATTGATCCAGTACCCCAGCCTGGCATTAGGGAGGTGTTGTGCTGTCATGGGGCTCGTCTTTCTGAAAAGATTTATAACGGAGGTCCCGAGTGCTTGTGGTCATTAAACATCCCAAAGAACTTTTTGCAACAGTAAGAGCGATAGCCTTGGTATCTTGGCCTATTTCTGGCTGGGTAATTATATTCCACCTGGCTAAAACTTTCCCTGTAGTTTCAATTGGATGCAGTATTTTTCACCTACAGCCCTAAACTGTTGCATAGCATTCTCATGTGCTGTTAAAGAGCTTCTGGGTTCCACTGTAGGAAGGGCTGCATTTCTGTGATGTGGCACACGACCCTTCTCCATTTAATTCCAACTCGGGGGGTTCCATTGAAATAGTTCCTCCCGAGAGTAGAATTCTGGTTCCCAGAGCTCAGCAGGGAGATGCGGCTGTAGCATGTGCGGAACCCAGAAACATCACAGAGGTGTGGCAACGTAGTGGCTCGTGGCAGGGGTCAGTCGGGCATTGCGTGGCTTAGTTCATGCACAGAGACAGTTTAAGATCAGATCCGCTCTTTACCAGAAGCCAAAAGCCTGGTGTTCTGACTCTTTGACCTTCATATTACTTATATTACAGTAGCACTGAAGAGTCAATCAGGATCAGGTTGCATTGTGCTAGGTGCTGGATAAGTATACATGAAGACAAGGCCCTTGTCCGATCAGGGTCTTTTCCATCTTTGCCTCCTCTGATGCTAAAG